CTCCAAACCCTATAAAGCCCCCAACCTGCTGAACCCGAAGCCAGAGCATTCAAACACAGTGATCCGCTCGCCTTGTTTTACCATTCGCTAAACTTTCGTATAATCTTTCATCCAAATACCATACAACCCTGTTAGATTTCCATAAAGCCGGTTAAGCTCAGGTGTGGGAGGGTTCTAGTTGTGTAAGTAGAGGGCAACGGTGTTTAAGCTCAGGTGTGGGAGGGTTCTAGTTGTGTAAGTAGAGGGCAACGGTGTTTAAGCTCAGGTGTGGGAGGGTTCTAGTTGTGTAAGTAGAGGGCAACGGTGTTGGCATGACAAAAACGGTGTTTCCCATAGGTCCAACCCACCTCTCGCTAAGCACATGCGCTCGGCGGCAGTGGCAGTTAGCCATCAGCCATCCAGCATAAAGTATAAAGCCCTAGTTTCCCGCAAACACAAAAGCATCAAAGCTTACACCCAAAGTTTAAGACCTACGCCCAACATCTGACAAACACTACCTCTCAAAACCTTAACCTCTGAACCCTGAAGCCTGAAGCTTGACAACCCACAGCATTCGGACAAGACTGGCACATCATCTCTGAGAATTTACAGGACTGCATTGCAGGATTCACGAGACGGTCTCGAAGCTCGAGGTTTGGGGCTTTCGGGGGAGGGGAAAAAATCAGACACTCACCGGACTGGCCACTCCTTTGTGCTGCTTCGGCTGCAGTCGACACTGTCCTTGACGGAAGTGGCAAGTTTGCCACTTTGCCACACCTAGCACAACTCCTGGCTGCCACATGCATCCTTGCTACGCGCTGCAACTTAGGCCCGTTTTTATTATCCAAACTTCATTCCTATTCCGCTTGACGGCCGACACCGCAAAACTTTGGGATATTTACAAAAGCGAGTTGCTTTTCACAGGCGACTCCTAGTCTTAGAACCTAGCGAAACCTCATTGATGTTCTCAGAACAAGGAAAGCGTTTTGTTGGTACAGACCGCCATCCCGACAACTTAAACTAAACACCTTACTCTAAAAGAAGCCAGTACCCTAAACCCTAAAGCAACGTGGCAGCGGCAGGAGCCAGCATCTCAAAAAGTCTCAGCCAGTCGATGCTTCCTCCTGGCAATCAGGGTTGATTGTGGACACTTCTGTGATAGAAAGCCCTGTGGCAGTCCTGCTTCTCTGCTGCCGGGCCGTTCTGGGATGCCTGCACCTGCACGGGGGTCGGAAAAGTACTTGCATTGAACTGCTTCGCCCTTCAGCCTAGGTAGTGCTTTGGGGATCAATGCGGGATATTTACAGCACTATAGACATGAATGCTTGAAGACTTCAATCGACCTTCGACACCAAATCCGAAATCCTTCCCCAAGCTTATTTATCAAAACCCTCGAATCACACCAGCATGTAACTGAGAAAACTGGTTGGTTTCTGTGTGGCAAGCACTACTTCCAAATGGCTCTAAATACTGTCAAAACGAACAATGCCGTCTTATGCATCCCCGAACCGTGGCACACGAGCTTTGCGGCCGCCTGCTGCATCTTTCTGCGCTTCCACGGTGATGGGTCATTCATCTGCGCATCGGGCTTGCTGGCATCGGCATCTTTCATCGGCACATCGGGCTTGCTGGCATCGGCATCGGTCTCCGTCATCGGCATATCGGGCTTGTCGGCATCGGCGTTCGGCTGCACCGGGGGCTTGCTGGCATCCGTCTCCGTCATCGGCATATCGGGCTTGTCGGCATCGGCGTTCGGCTGCACTGGGGGCTTGCTGGCATCGGCCTCCTTCGTCGGCACGGGCTTGTCGGCATCGGCATTCGGCTGCACTGGGGGCTTGCTGGCATCGGCCTCCTTCGTCGGCACGGGCTTGTCGGCATCGGCATCGTTCGGCTGCACCTCGGGCTTGCTGGCATCGGCCTCCTTGTCGGTCTCACCCGGAAGCTCTGGCACCTGAGGCGGAGGAATTTAGGGTTGTACTGGAACTACCGAGTCGTCAGAGTCAGGGCAAGCAGGCTCCAAAGTTGTTGGGCGAGTGAGGCTTACGACCAAACCTGGGCTCTAAACCCAAAGAGCCCAATTTGTCGAGTATAAAGGCTAATCCGAAAAACCCTAGACCCCAATGCAAGAGCAGCAGTTGGCAGGAAGAGAATCGTAAGAGCGACCCAAGACCCAATACCCAAGATTTAGACTTGTTGATTTCCAAGAACCCAGCTAAACTCGAGTCAACTCGAATCCGAACGTGTTTGCTCTTTGCCAGGCTTCGAAGCTCTGAGTCGAAAATTTATTGTATGCGAAAACTGAACTCTAAATCTCCGCGCCCGAAAATCTTCGCCCCCCAATAACCGAACCAGCGAAATAACCCGTAACCCGAAAGCTTTGTCCTAGGAGAAACCATTACAAACCACCACAACTTTTACACTGCACCTTTGCACTCGAAAACTCTGGACCCGAGATGTCTGTATAAACCTAGACCTAGACAGCCCAAGCCCAAGCCGAGACCCAACCTTAAGTCCCCCGCCTTCTCCATGAAATGAAGGACTGAATCCAGGATGGGAAGGCAGCGCCCGGAGTCAAGCGCCTCCTGGCGCATGCACCTCAGGCCACTGAGGTCCTCGCAATCGAGGAATGTCAGCTTCACGCCCAAATTATCATCTTGTGCTTCTGTTTTTTCGGCCACAATGCATGCAGCCGGGATGTAGATCCACTCACCCGGCTCAAGCACTGCATACCAGATCTTGTCTGGCTCCGCCAAGGAAAGCTCCACACACTCGTCATCGGACAGGTGCATGAAGCGGTTCTGTAGCTGACCGAACAAGACCTTCTCACGGTCCTGCTCCTTCTTCTGCTCTTCCTTGGACAACAGCCATCCTCTGAATATCTCGGCCGGGATGATCACAAGACTGCGCGACCCAGCAAACTGGTAACGGATGACCGGCAAGCCTGCAGTCTCCAAACGGCTGGAACGCTGCCCAGCTATGGATGCCCACAAAGTTGGCTCCATCAAACCCTTCATCTGTTTCCAGCTTGCCTCGTCTGGAACTTTGTCACCGAAGATGACACGCTTGTCTTTGGGAAGCAAGCCAGCCAATGCATGCCTGCCAAATAACTCGATTGGACCAACCAAGAACCGTAACTCCAAAACTGCCAAAACTCGTAAAGTCAACTGCCAGGCCTGAGTTCGCTCTTGAGGGGACCTACATCCTTCTGGGCCTTTCCTGTCATGATCCGAACATCGCTGCCTCGAAACTCCTTGCCGAAACCCTCCAAGGCGGTGCGAGCAGAATCGGACATGAACTCTGACGGCTTGTCAAGCACACCCTTGAAAGGCGTCCCAAACACGAAGGTATCCCCGGTGTCTTCAACACTAGGTTCTGATGTTGGACAGTTGGCGAACTCGGCATCAGTGCTGAACATGGCATACGGCTCAGCTGCTTTCTTCGCTGCTGCTTTGCCTTTTGCCTTGGCCTTTGCCTTGCCTTTCGCTTTGGCCGATGGGCCTCCTGCGCTCTTTTGATTGCTCACTTTCTTGAGCTCCGTGGCCGCACTCTTGCACGACCCAAGGAGCTCCTCCCACTGAGAGTTGCACTTGGCCAGTTTTTCCGACCGAGCCTGCAGGTCTTTCTGATCTTGCAGCGTTTTGACATCATTGATGTCCTGCTGCAGCGCACTGATGGTCACTAAGCTTTCGTAGCCGTTGCACGGGCCTATGGCTGTGAGCAACGCATCATTCGCACTTCCTGCCGTATTGACACTCCGTGTGTCCGACACCTTCCTGAGACGCAGCACAACACAGACACATACATAGAAGCGACATGCATGTGACATGTGCAATCAGGCAACGACTCAACTACGCCAACCAAACACCCATGCACCCAAGAGTCGCAGTGAGTGTCTGCAGGTAGTCGGCATACTCGGTCTGCGGTCTCGATGCAATGATGCTGAGGGCTTGAAGCCGATGGTGAACGATCTTGGTTTCCACCAAGTCCTCATGCGACATGTTGCGCGAAACATCAAGCTGCCCCTGCATCTGCTGGATCAGCTGGTCCATGCGACTTTTCATCTTCGCGGAGATTGTCTCGCCACGACGCTTGAACTTCTGAGTCTCAGAGGCCACGTCGAACCACTTGGTCCTCTTCTTAGCAGCATCAGCATCGCTGCCACCGGAGTCTGAATCATCCTCGCTGTCGTCGGCCTCACCTGCTGTCTTGCTCCCACTGCCTGTAGACAGGCGACGGGAGGGTTTAACAACAAGATCCTGAAGCTTGGCAACGGCAACCGGAGCTCGAAGCCCCTGTGCATCACCCTCTCCATCCTCGCCCAGAAGGTCGACACCATCACAAGTAAGATGGCTGCCAAAGCCCTGATCATGTCCACTCAACACGAGGCTGCGGGCTTGGTCTTCGAGCTGCCCCTGATCCAGCTTGTTCGACAAGCGGGCTGCTTGTTCAATTGCGCGCTGCTTGCCTTGACATCCAAAACATCCCTTTGCTGATATGGCACTGTCTGTTCTCATTTGCTCTGGCTCTTTCTCCCTCTGTCTCTCGTTGTCACTCACCACTCTCTGACCCCTTCTCTTCTTTCTTCCCCTTAAACGTGTCCCCCTCATGATTCTTGGTCTGCTCGTCTGCTCGTTTTGTTCCGTGTTCTTTGACAACACAGCTGGACAACACTCTCCAACTGGCTTGCAGAGATAAGCCCCCCTTGCAAAATGACTGGGCTCTAAATGTTCCGAACATTTTGGGCCCACCCCGTCCTAAACTCCCGCGCAAAACACCCCGCAGACACCGCCCAGCTTTAAAGGAGACAAGCCGAACAAGACAGGACCGTCAACAAGTTTAGGTATTCCATGTCGTTTGACAACCTCTCTCTCCCACTCGTTCTGACTTTCTCTCTCTCTCTCTCTCTCTCTCTCTCTCTCTCTCTCTCTCTCTCTCTCTCTCTCTCTCTCTCTCTCTCTCTCTCTCTCTCTCTCTCTCACTCTGTCTTCTCTCCACCACCGCCACCCGTCTCATGTTCACATTCAGCTGCAGACAAAACAAATGAGCATCAGGCTGATTTCTTCAAAGTCGACCAGCTCTTTATGGATTGGAACATAGATCTTCTGCTTTGGCCCCTTTGGCCCCTCCTTCTTGTAGGTTGGGTCGCTCTTCATCTCCTCCCACTTGGATGCTGCTTGTTGCCGGGTGAGGTTGTCACCGTCATCTGAGGTGGCCCATGCAATGAATTGACTTTCGCTCATGAGACGCCTGCGACGCTCTCCTCGAAGTCCGGCGCTGGCGACCACACTTTCTCTGTAGGTTTTGATCGAGAACTTCACCTTCGTGCGGTCTTTCTCAGCCTGAGTCTTGGCCTTTTTGTAAGCCTTGCCGAGATCGACCTGGCCTTTCTCATCCAAAGTCTTGAACCATTCTATCTCCCCTTGGCGTCTGGCCAAGTCAATCACGGCTTTCTTTTCTTTGGAGCATTGCTTGCATCGCCCCTGGTCTTCCCAAAAATCGCTCAATGGCAAGGTTTTTTTGCACTCGGCACATTTCTTGGTTGCCCCAAGAGCCGCTGATGCCGCATGTTCCGCTTTTTTCATATCCTTGGCAAGCTTCTTTCTGTCTCGCTTCGCCTCGAATTTCTCTTTCCTTCTTTGCGACCTAGACGTGGCCTCTTCTCGTTCTCCCTCACTCTCATCGGCATCAGCTTGTAGTTGTTGATCTGCTGTCTTGCGGCGTGCCCTAGCAGGTCCTTTGCCCCTGACAAAGCCCTTGTCAAATCCGTCATCTTCTGCTTGCATGACCACTCGCTCACCAACGGCTGAGCCTCTGAGCGGCTGGCCAGCCGCCTGCCTAGGCCTAGGCCTAGACTGGGCTTACGAAAAATCTCGAGATTAAAATCTGAGAGAGTCGGCCGAGACCAAGCTGGGCGAGCGGCAATCAAGATTGATCAGTTGCCCGGCTCATGTGACACTGCGACACAGCACGGCATGAAATTGGCATGAAACAGCAGCAATGCAACGGCAACAACCATAGTTTCTTGGATGGCACACGCACGCACACAATCTGTCTGGACTCTATCCCTCTGTGTCTCCCTGTACGTACTTCCCAGTGCTCCTGCTTTGTACAAAAAATCAGCGGACGAACGTCAAGACGAAGAGGAGTATAGCACCCATGCACTGAAGGCTCATGCTATTTCCAGCCATCACTCGCAAGTCGTGATGACTGAGCTGCCAGTCACGTGGCCTCTTAGCACAGCGGCGACCGGTTCGAGTCGCCGAAGCCTCCGGCGACGACTCCAATGCAGCCAGAGCATCTAGCACACAGACGCGGAACGGGCACATGTACTCAGTAGGAATACCCTTCTCAAACATTGAAAAGCCTTGCACTTCCCACATCTCTTGAACCAACAGCAGCCTCTGAGAGTGCATGCTCCAAATGTGAGCGTTTGTGATGAGAGTCGGCAGCACATCCATGACACCACAGCGCCCAGCAGACTGTGCTGCATTCATGAACACATGGGCTCTTTGGTTTCTGTCCAATCCGAGGTCTGCACGTACGGCCTCTTCCCATGCACGGACTCGCTTCACCATTGGCTGACTCATGACATGCTTTGCCTGCCACGCACGTCCGGATGAGGGGCTGGCTGGCAGTCCTCGAGTCCTGGCCTGCCATTCATGGTTTCTGTCTACCACATCCTTGGGAGCTGAATAGAACTGGCTGGAATTAGTCAGCAAGTACTGCTCTGTAAAGATCTCAGCAAACACAACTCGCGGCTCGCTCAAGAGCCACGAAGCCCCTGGCAGTAGAATCACAATGTATATCCTGTCTCTGTGGGCTGGAATACCTAACTGCCGCAGAGATACTGGAAACACAGTAGTGATATAGCCTGGGAATACGACATCTAAGATATCATCATCGAAGCCAACAACATTTTCCATAATAGTGATCCTTTCGCGACAAAGCCGCCGCTCATGTGCCCACAGCAAAAAAGGGATGGCCCCATCGCCCAGCCACCCATGTCTCTGCCCTATCTGGGACCAATCCACACAAGGCGGTCCAGCGATGGCGATATCAATCCCCCCCTGCTCGTGCGTGACACAGAATGGACAGGCCTGCTCATGTCGATAACACCACACCTTGGTTGGTAATTCTGTAACTGATTTTTGTAAGAATTGCACAGCCATCCGCACAAACTCTCTGCCCCACTTCCTGATGATGCTCCTGTGCGAATCTTCAGCAGCTTTATCAAGTTCAGAATCGGCGTTGTCTTTGCATGCACCTTGCATACGGCGAAGCTTCTGCAAAACTTCAGGCTCAACCCTCTCCTCTAGTGACCCAAAGATACAGCCATGAGCCTGGCCAGACACTGCACTATGCGAAGCACCCTGAAAATCAGGGTTGCAATCATCATGCAACAAGATTCTGCGACAGGCTGGATTGGAGTCAGATGCTCGTCGACAACGCAAGCCCACATACTCAGGCGACGAGAAAATCTCACTGCCTGAGTCCTTCAGACCATGTTCAATGAATAAGCAAGCTATCTCAGCAGAACCAACACCGGAAAAATCTGTGACCACGGACAGGCCTTCACGATACCTGTCAACTAGGACTTCCACAGAGCTGGCAGAGTACTTGGCCAGCTTTTCCAGAAACACACGTGGCCATAGAAACAATCTTCGGAAATGTCCATCGCTATCAGGAGCTTCAAGAGCTTGCATGGCATGAGATTGCATGACTTCCACGCTGAGACGCGATGTTCTTGGGACGTGTGTGGTTTGTGTGCACGCTGCATATGTGTCTGTGTACGAAGAGTCTTATGTGTCTCTCTCATACAACAGCAACACACACACACACACCTGTGGCACAGGTAGATAGTCTTCTAGTTTGCATTTGCATAGTAACATAGTATGTGGTTCATGTACTACACAGACTACACATCATCATAAAAGTGTCAGTTGCCACAGTCATAGCTTGATAATTGATAATGTATTGTTCGGGAAAGGATGATAAGCCTGTCATGCTTGCCCGTTGCAGCACTTCACATCACTCTTGCACACTGCACACGCATGAGCTGTCATGAAGGCGACTTCGAAGGCCTTTCTCAGGAAGCCACATGAGGCATCGCTTTATCCCCCATCACAAGGCACAAGGACTCCGGCGAGGACTTATCACTGGTCACGACCGACTCACTTTGTGAGACGGATCACGGGACTCTAGGCACACGCAGGCTAAGCCTCCAAGAAGTATTAGGTAAATGAAATCCGCAGCCTGAGTTTTGTCAGGCGTGGCGTTTCAGCAGTGCAAGTTGTGCTCTTTGGTGGGAGTTGATGAAATTCGCGTGTTTTCTATCCTGTTCTATGATATTTTCTTGTGTTTTGAGTGTTTGTTTAATTTTTTGCTTGGCTTCTATACATTTCCAGAAATTTTGGTTAAAAAGGAGCAACTCCAGCAAAACAGCACCCGACCCCCAAAAACAACCATGGTAGTTTTCACCCAAACCGTCCAAGGTGGTTGGGGGTGTCTCGGGACCTTCTCGGGACCGTCTCGGGACCGTCTCGGGACCCTCTCGGGACCCTCTCGGGCACCTTCTCGGGACCGTCTCGGGACCGTCTCGGGACCCTCTCGGGCCCCTCTCGCCTATGGCACCGGCGCCCAACACCCCAAAATGAAAACAAAAACCTTCAAATCCCTTTCGCAGCCTCTTCCGGCCTGCCGTTTCCCCCGCAGCCCCCGCACCTCCCCCGACCACCTGCCTTTCCGGGCCCTGTGCCCGGAAACGAACCCGAATCTCTGCGATTTCAGCCGGAGGCAATAAATTTACTTAAGAAATCTAAAGAATTTCTAAGAAACCTTATATTTAAGGGCAGAATCGGAAAACAAGCCTGCAAGCGCCACGCGAGCACCGCTTTGCTCTAAAAGAGCCAAAGTACAGAGTGCCAGGGCGGAGCTGTGGGAGTTTTGCGAAGTTGATGATTAAAGACTTGGTTATCCACCCATATAGTAAACGCTGCCACCCGAAGAGATGTATTGCTATGGTTCTTTTGCCACACCCATACTAGAATTAGCCTTATATAGCCCCTGTAGATGTATGCTCTTGGTTTCCTTGAAGCTTAGACTATCGACAACACACCACAGGAACAGTGGGATTTCTTTGCTCGAAGCAAGCGTAGGGCGTAGGGTTCAGGGGTTAAGTAGCCATAAGTCCCAAAGTGCACAGGGCGTCTTGAACAGAAGGATTAGAGTTTATACGGGTTGGCTTTAGAGATACCATATAATATAATCCCAAGTTGGGCAAGTTCAGACCGGCCAAACGAAGTTAAAGCAACTCCCGCCCCAACTTCCCCAACGAAACCACAAGAGCTTACGAGCTTTCCGGGCTTTCCGGCTTTCCCCACAACCCTATCGTAAACTCTAGCTCTACAGCCTACAAGACTCCCACGCCCGCACAAGCCGGCCAAGCATGCTCACCAACGCCGGCGGCCGTCAGGCCTGCGAGCCCGCGAGGCAGTGAATCCACGATTTGCCGGCTAAGTAGCTTCTTGTTGTTCGACTGCTACGCACAGACTGATCTTATAACATCGGCAAGTCAATGTTCGGAAGTTCATGTGTGAAATCAGATATATATGAAGTGAACAAGTTGAGGTATTCCATACCAACCAGTACAGTTTGCACACACTAACCGGTCGACAAGACACGACAGAACCAAATTGGTAAGAAGTGAGAAGCTTCCGTCTCTGGTCGCTGGCCTCGCAGCAAAGTTCAAGCCAGCTCCACACCGTCGCCTCGACCTCAGAGGACAATCACAAGACACACGGGGTGATGCCTAAATAGATTTGGGAATTGATTGAAGGAGTCTTGCGATCACAACGACGTGTTCTGTGTTCAGTGCACAGGGGTCACGGCATCCCAAACCCGAAGCCCGAAGCTGCCGACGATTTCAGATATACCCACATAAAAGAAAGGGAAGCACACGGCTCCTAATCATGAAAAGCAAAGTCGGTCTTCGAAGCCGCAGCAGAATGAGGTCCCAACTGACTGGTTGGTGACATCCTTCACGTAGCCGCCTGCCACAGCCAGGAGGCATGAACTGAACCACGCAAGCATGCGGTTCTGCGACCCAAACTGAGGTGAAAATTACAAGAACAACATGATGCATCAAGTTTTTTTGCAATTTTCGTTTCAATTTGGGTCGCATAACTCCAATACTACTAAGGAGCACGACTAGTGACTTTCGTTGAAAGACTTCCACACCAAGGCTGCAGCAGGTGTGCTGTACTGGGAAGTTACACATCAGTGACTACCGGACAGACTGCCGCTAGCTGGCCTTGCATCATCATCGGCAGATCAGGCCCAAGCGGCCCAACCTGAAGTCGCACCACCACGGCCTCAACGCATGCAGCTGCTGTGTACACTGCACACTCAGAGCCACAAACTAACATCTGCGCAAGGTACAGCTGGCCCACAGCCCCACACCAAACGTCCACAAAGGTCGTGGAACTGCACTGAAACGCATCAAACAAGCCCTGGCCTTGTCGGCTGGCGTCTTGATGCCGCCTGTCAATCCGGAAATGCGGTTTGCACATATGGACATGGACAACTGCACCTGTCACGGGCTTTCCCCTTTCGACGGACTGTCAACTCGACTGCTCTCTCTTGCACACTGTAGACCCTCCCAAGCCCCAAGCCAAATAATCCACCCACCCCTGTATGGTTCACTGTGACCTGGCCTGTGTGAATTGCACGGACCACATGTCATGAATCTGCACACGAGAATCAGGAGTCAGAGGCAGAGGATTCGGAACTTGATGAGCTGGAGCCGGAGCTGGATGAACCTGAAGAAGAGCCTGAACTCTCTGACTCTGGGTCTGACGCCGCTTCATCCTGATGTGATGCCGGTGGCCTGGCTCTGCGTGTTGTGACTGCTGCCGCCTTCGGCTTGCGTTTGGCTTTCGGCTTCGGCTTGGCTTTGGATTTGGGTCTTGACGGTCTTGAAGCGGAAGCACGAGCTGCTAGCTTGTCGAGCTCACCATCCGGTTGCACGAGATCGGACGGGCATTGCATTTCTTCAGCTCTAAGATCCAGGACATGTTCTGGAGGGCACTCATAGGATCTTGGGTTCCATTTCTGATGCTTCCATCCTCGGTCAAACGAACCTGCCTGCAAGAGCCAGTTCTTGACCATCCGAAGAGTAAGTTGGCGCTGCTCATCAGTACTCTCTGCAAGATTCAGTGACTTGGTACAGGCTGTTTTCTCTGTCCTTCGATGGTAGGGGCACTTGGCTTGCCACGCACCATGAAGACAGTCGTCACCTGGAGCACGCCACGTAATCTTGCACCTGGCCCCACCCCAAGCAGATATGGACTCAGGGCGGACCATGCGGGAAACTGGAGCAGGAGCAGGTGCAGGCGGTGCAGGCACATGTTCAGCTGCGTCGCCAGCTGTCGGTGGGTCATGCCCTGCTTCAGCATGATCCACTTCCTCCCTGGGCCCGAGCAGACCACGGCTTTCGTCTAAAGCGCTGTCCACGGGTTTGCCGACATGTACAGAATCTGCAACATCCTCAGGAATGCTCGGTGAATAATCGTCTGGGTTTATATCAGAAGGCAAGTCGCCGTAGCTAGTGGGAAAACCTGAGACACCGTCACCATCACCATCACCTGCACTGGCACCAGAAGCCACATCCGAAAAAAGATCCCAAAGCTCCGCAAAAGAATCCACGGAAGCCGAGCTCGTGTCAGCTTCAGCATCAGCATCAGAGAATGCATCTTGATTCTTAGAGCCCGACTCCGGAGCCCTATGTTTCCTCTTGCATGATCTGATGACTCTCGGCTGCTGCTTCGCCTTGGGCAGTGGCTGAGTTGGCAAAGTCGATTCTGTGTGCACCGCAGCAGACTCCCAAAGCAAGTCATCTTCTGGCATCAAGTCACCGACAGCCCCTGGGCCTGTTGCAGCGGAAGCATCTTCAATGGCCACACGTTGAGGCCCTTGCGTTTCCTTGTTTTTGATACTCAACATACCTTCAGCATGAGCATACTGACCTTGAAGCAAAGTTCGGTAGTAAACTGCTTTCTGCCCATGGTGCACACGCTGTCCTGCCTCAAGAATGGAAGCACACTGAAGCAAACATAGCATATAATCCTTTGAGACAGTGGTCCCCTGACTGTACCACACACGGTCACCGCCCAAGACATGTGGAGGTGAGCCGTTTGCACGAAAAGGTTTCCATTGCCATCCCTGGTTCTGCAAGGCTTTGCAGAGTTGATAAGGCGTTTGCTGCTCTAAGGCTGGCACCTGTGCGGGCTGATCATCAAAAGTTGTCGGGTCTTCCAGGCAATACGATAAAGACAGCTTGGCCAAAGCATCTCTAGTCAACTGCCAACCCCGACTATCAGAAACAACCCAACCGTCAGCCTCCATGTCCTGCAATGTAACACGCATGTTGGCTGGCACTGAACCCTCAGGCAAGCATGTGGGCTGGCCAACAAAAGCCTTCTCAGAGACAAGGAGCCCTAATAGACTGGCATCCACAGCATCTGTGTAGTTCGGCAACGTCATGGCACAGTCCTGCTGACCTGCCTTCCATCGCAGCATGTGTTCCATCTTGTCGGAGTGCATACCAACAGAACTCAGAACATGAACTGCGTTGCCCTCGCCTGAACACATCAACGGCTCTGACTGCACCATGCAAGTTCCCGGGCTGTGCTGCCCTGGCACTGCT